TAATCACACAACCTAGGATAATCACCTTAGCCTCATCACTAACTCATCACCCTTTCATTTCCTTCATAACAGGCACTTTTATCAAATACTATGCTGCTTATTCCATATGTGCTATCTCCTGTCTCCTCAACGCCCGCATCCCCTCACCTTGCTGTGGACTCTCACCTCTAAGAACAAAGGGAGGGACTTCCCTGGTGGTGCAGGGGTTAAGAATCCACCTGCCGATGCAGGGGACACAGGTTCGAGCCCTGGTCTGGGAAGATCCCACATGCCGCAGAGCAACTAAGCCCGTGCGCCACAACTTCTGAGCCTGTGCTCTAGAGCCCGTGAGCCACAACTACTGAGCCTACGAGCCACAACTACTGAAGCCCGCGTGCCTAGAGCCCGTGATCTGCAACAAGAGAAGCCACGACAATGAGAAGCCCGCACACTGCAATGGAGAGTAGCCCCTGCTCGCTGCAACTAGAAGAAAGCCTGCATGCAGCAACGAAGACCCAACACAGACAAAAAAAGAAAAAACAAAAAAAGAACAAAGGGATATCTGAGTACTCAAAAGACACTCAAAAAAATATCTGCTGAATGGACTATAATACAGAAGTTTTAAATGTTTCTGAAGAAGCTTTAAGAACACAGGAAAATGCTTACAATACATATCTAAGTGGGAGGGGGAACGGTTATCAACTAATGGGACACCAAGTTTGTTGGGGGTAGTGGGGCAAATACACAGAAAAGAAAAAAAGTAAAATAACTTCTGTTGGAATTTCCAAGTGTTGGGGTGGAATTGTGGGTAATTTTCACTTGCCTTTTCAGTTTCTTCCACAGCTTCGTGTTTTCCAAATTTTCTACAAGGCGTGACTTTGATCAGAAAAAGCTACTTTAAAAAAATGACCACACCGGAAGGATGCTCAGATTCAGCTGTGAATGTGACAAAGTCAGTCTTACTGTCATGGGACACCTTATTCAAGTCAAATAGTTCTCCCAAAGTACACATGAAAACCCTCAGACAGAAACCAGAAAAAATAGGGGGATGTGGAAGTGGACCTGTATGTAGACTGGACAGACGCCTCCAAGCTGGTCAGACCCTTGACCTGGGCTACATTCCAAGTCTCACCAAGCTAGGGGAGAAAAAAAAAAGGAATATACCATACTCCAGATATTGCAGAATAAGCCAAGACTTTGTATGATCTACAAAAAGATGAACTATTTAAAGTTGTTTTAGATACACTGTTGAACATCAGTCTCTTTAATACTTCTCCAATTCTCAGAAGTTTTCATTCTTACATAAGAAAAGACACACATTTATACTTAATGAGTATTAAAAAACAAAAAACAAAAAACCCCTAAGCCCTCTGAACTAGGTCATCTTTTCAGAGGAGAGGCTCAGCCCATTGACTAATTTGAAATGCCAGTCCCATCTGCAAACCTCAGCAAGAGCTGCAGTTAATATTAAGAGCAGAAACAGGTTTGTTCTTGAACATCTTTTCTCAAGTCCAGGATGCTTCCAAATGGAAACTTTCCAATTTTCCTGCACTTGAGATAGTAGATCCAGTACAACCCTTAAAACAGGATTCTCACACCCTTCAGAAGGAAGTTTCAGTCACCCATCACTCAACAAAAGAAGCTACCGCTAAATATAAATTTTAATAGAACTCACTACTGAGTGCCAGCTCTGTGTGTTCCTGTGTGTGCGCATGCACTCACACGCACACACAGGCTCATGCATATGTTTGCAAACAACACACGCACACATACATAGAGAAAAGCTAATATTCTTTTTTTTTTTAATAAATTTATTTATTTTTGGGTCTTCGTTGCTGTGCGGGCTTTCTCTAGTTGCAGTGAGCGGGGGCTACTCTTCGTTGCGGTGCGCAGGCTTCTCACTGCAGTGGCTTCTCTTATTGAGAAGCACCAGCTCTAGGCGCACAGGCTTCAGTAGCTGTGGTATGCGCGCTCAGTAGTTGTGGTGCATGGGTTTAGCTGCTCCGCGGCATGAGGGATCTTCCTGGACCAGGGCTCAAACCCATGTCCCCTGCATTGGCAGACAGATTCTTAAGCACTGCGCCACCAGGGAAGCCCCAAGGAAAGCTAATATTATTTATGACAGACTGTAGGACCCTGCTTCTGGCAATCTAAGAGAACTCTCCCATCTATTTACTCACTCACTTGCTAAAGAAAATGTAAGCCAAAGACTTGGGGGTGGGTCTTCAAATAAGGTATTTGATAAGTCTCAGCCTGCACTATTCCAGGCAGACTAGGCAGAGCCAACGGGTGACATGTATCATGAGGCTAATCTCAGATCCACAGTAAATACAAACTTTTACCGTAAATCATAGAGCTAATTAAGCAAAATGGACTTGATCGCTAGAGGCTGTTTGATTCTTTCTGGGAAAAATGTAGATAGAATCCGTGACCCATGCCTTCATCAGACTTGTTGAACTCCCTTTTATGCATTAGGCAATTTGTCAGATCCCTGTCCTTTAAGTCTCTCAGTGGAAACTGGAACATGGTGAAGGTAGAAAAAATATCACTCTAGCCCCCAGCCCCCAGAACACTGATATATAGCAGGTACTCAGTAAGTCTCTACTGGATAAATCAGAAGACATTTGCTGCACTGCATCATAACTGTGTGTGACTGCAGCAACAGAATCCACAGGCTATGTGCAGAGGAAAGAGACGAATTCTGCCAGGGCAGGTGAGGGAAGACTGCCCAAAAGCAATGAGTAGCCAGCCCTTCCCTGGAGGAGCCACCAGGGAGTGGCTGCAGGAAAACCACGTGGACAGGAGTGTGCCCCAATCCAGGCTGCAGCAGATGGCCTGAGCTACTTTCCAACTTAAATTCCTACCAAGGTTTTATTTCCTGGGGTTTTGCTGTGCTTCATCATCTCCTTCGAGCCTTCAACTATAAAGGGGTACCTACAGAGGGATCCTTGTGCTTCTCTACCAGGAAATTAGGGAAAAGCAAACAGCAGCTAACAGAAAAATAAATGCTGTGGAATGCTTTATTTACCAGGCAATGAGCCGGTAAGACTCTTAGACCTTCTGAGAGAGAAAAAATAATCTGAGAACACCCTCCAAGTCCACTAGAAACAGGCCACTTTCAAAACGAATCACTGTCCTTTATTCCTCCTCTTCTTCTTTCCCTGATAAAGCTTTTTAATTGTTCATGCATAAACTACTTGATTCCCAACAGAGAAAGATAATTTAAACATTGCAGAGTCACTTCTTACTCCAGGGAGAAACACTGGGAGGGAAATGAAAGCATTTGAAGGAGAATGGAAACTAAAATTCAGAACAAAGGAAAGTTAAAATGAACAAAATAAGGGAAAACAGCAAGTGGAAAGTTTTCAAAACCCCTAAAAAAGTGCAGAAATCAAATACTTCCCATCATATTCTCTTTAAAAATGGAAAGAGCCACTAATCCAGAACCAGGATGGATGGTGTGAAGCCCTTCATGCCAGAAGAAACAAGTTACCAAGTCAGTTGCTATAGAGAATGCAGAAAAATGGGCTCCCACCCAGCAGTTTCCTCCCCTCATTATGCCTACCACGAGAAGCCCCACCTGACCACAAAACCCTTGGGTAGAGAGCCAGCCTTCCCTCTCACAGAGTTCTCACCCCTGCCCAAACTGCATTCCACACACGGAAGGAATAAAATGCATTTGAATGTGGTATTAAAATTAAAATAGACCCAATCGTGGTAACAATACCCACAAGAGAAAATTCCAGGTGCAATCTGGTACACAGAACTCGGACTTGTGTATGTTGAGGGTGGGTGACAGGATTCTTGAAGATCAAAATAAAAGCTTGCTTTTTTACAACCTGCTTAAGAGATAATGAATAAAACTCCGCCTTCGAGATACATCTTAATTCCTCGCTTTCAGGCTTTCTGTTTTCCAGCACCGTCCTCCACCTACCTCGCCAAACTAATCTGTGCTTCTGTAATGAAGATCCCTGGGAAATTAGCCCATAATAGGCCATAACCACCTAGGACACTGATGAGAACAGAAGCCACAGTGAAGCACCCCGTTTGCAATAACAAGTTTTCATAAAGGAGTTGCTAATCGTGAGCATCTGCATCCCAGAAGGGCCATGTATATACCTCGCAGGAGCACCACAGCTACCTCTCGCCTTTGAACGCCAATTCATTACGAACTGGTGTGAACGTGGGGTGGGAGGAGAGGGGAGAAGCGCCGTACTGAAAGGCTAAGAGAGCAGGCGCTCTATAGCCCCCAATTCACCACGCAAGCCAAAGGAGACATTCTCAAGAAGCCATTTCCAGGGAAACTGGATTCAAAATGTAATTTATCAGAACGAGTCTCCTCCTTGTCTCCTAACGGCCAGGCCCCGGCTTGGAGAGGAGGGGGGAGTGAGTGGTGAGAGTTTACCTTAGAAGGCGGCAGGGAACAGACAGGCCTTTCAAAGCCACCCAGGGCTCTGCCCGGAGGTCCCAGGCGGCGCGGAGGGGCTGGAGCAGCGCGCGGCTGCGAGCCCCGCGGCGCCACAGGTTCCCCAGCGCGCGGCCCCGCCCGACTCCCACAGGTGGGCGGCGCTCGGCCCGGGGGGCTCGGGCGAGAGGAGGGGACGCTTCGGGTCACCAGGGACGCGGTAGACGGGGTAGGGACGGGGATGGCTTGGCCTTAAGGAAGCTGGGCGAGAGGGAAGCTCGGGGCTTTCGGCTGCCTGGATCTCGCTCCTCATCTGGGTGGTAACCGGCTTCTCGCCACGGCAAGGGCAGCCCGCGCGGAGAGAGGGGCCGCGTGCGCCTCCCACCCTCCTCCCAACTAGCCTCGGCCTCCTCCCTGGCGCGGTTAAGCCGCACGGCCGCGGGCCACCGGCTGCATGCGCCCCGGCACGTAGGAGCCTGCACTACCACACGCGGGCGGGGGAAGGGCGCCCGGGGACCGAAGAGACCCGGCCCCTCGCCGGCCCTTTGCCTTTGCCTCCCAGCCTCACCCGATCCCGCGTCGGCTCACCCCGCCCCTCGCCTCCGCACGTCCTCACCCGTGTTGGCCTTGATGTTCTCCCGCAAGAAGTGGCCGCTGGAGAGATGCTGGAGGCCAAAGTTCTCGGCGATCCTCTGACACACGGTGCCCTTGCCCGAGCCGGGCGGCCCAAGGATGACCGCGCGCAGGAGTTTGGAAGCCATTGCCTTGGCGAGGAGGGGGAAGCCGAACTGGCAACCCGGACAGCAGCCTCGAAGAAGCCCCGGGAACTTTGCTTCTTCTGCCTCAGCCTCTGACACCCTGGGCTCGCGCGGGGACTTGCCGCCGCCCCTGCAGGGGAAGGAGAGACTTTTGAGACAACCCCTCGCCTCCGCCCCGCGCCGGGGCGGCTCGAAGGCGGAGTAAGCGCCACGCTACACCTCCCCGCCCTCCTCGCCCCACGCTGCGATTGTAGCGAACGCCCGAGCGCCCGCCCCTGGCGGGGGCAGCCGTCGGGGACTCGGAGGTCCACCCGGCCCGCCCCACCTCGATCCCTTCCTAAACCTCGCGCCCCACGCCCCGTCCGAGGAGGGAGTAGGGCATCCCCACGCCAGCCTCCCCCGAGTCGGGGGGCCGGGCTAGGCGGTAACTCCAGGCGCGCCTCCAGTCGCCCACGCCCCGGGAGGCCTGGGGGCTGAGCCCCAACCCGGGTCCCCGCACGTGGGCAGCGTTTGGTCCGCGCTTTGGCCCCTCCCCGGCGGCTGTCACCTCCCGGGGAGTCGCAGCGGCTGCCGCCCGCGCGGACGGCCCAGCGCCCACCTCCGCCGAGGGCTAACGGATGCGCTCTCCGCTGTAAGGAGCCGGAGTTCGGCGCCTCTCCACCCGGAGCAGTCAAATAAACACACACCTCCGCCGGGACGCGGCTCTCCGCAAAGGCTTCCAGCCCGGATCCCACTGGGCGGCGCCGCCCCCGCCCGCCCCCATTCGGAGCCCCGGCCGGCCGCGCGGGACTCGCGCCTTACGTAAGCGGGGAGAACGGCTCCGCGCTAGCCGCCTGTCAGTCCGCCCGCGCTTCTCCCCGCCTCGTAGCTCCGCTCCCACCCGCCTCCCCGGCCCACTTGCTCCCCAAGACCCCGTGGGGCCCGCGGGGGCGAAGGGAGGTGGAGAAGAGGCAAGGAACAAAAAACTCCCTTTTGCGGTCGCCTGGGGACCCGGTCTCCTGTGGAGAGGAAGGAAAAACACAACATGTTGAGCGCCTACTGTGCGTCAAGTTCGAGGCTAGTTGACTTCCTTCAGCAACAACCGTTCCGAGTAGGGTATGCACAAGGGAGGAGAGGAGGCTTGGAGTATGGCCATTCATTCATTGATTCATTCATTCAGCAAATGTTTTTTGAGCCCCTACTATGTGCCAGGCACTGTTTTAGTCCCTCAGCATATAGCTGCGAACCAGAGATAGAATCCTGCCCCGGTGGAAGTTACATTCCAGCGGGAATTTTTTTTTTTTTTTTTTTTTTTTTTTTGACCACACCGTGTGGCCTGTGGGATCCCAGTTCCCTGACCAGGGATTGAACCCGGGCCCTCAGCAGTGATAGCGTGGAGTCCTAACCACTGTACCTCCAGGGAATTCCCTGGGACAGCATCTTGAGGGGACAGGTTGGTGTTCCATGGGCAAGGGGAGCCAGTCCCTGCAAAATGTTGGCATTCCGGGCCTCTCACTGTTGTGGCCTCTCCCGCTGCAGAGCACAGGCTCCGGACGCGCAGGCTCAGCGGCCATGGCTCACGGGCCCAGCCGCTCCGCGGCACGTGGGATCCTCCCGGACCGGGGCACGAACCCGTGTACCCTGCATCGGCAGGCGGACTCTCAACCACTGCGCCACCAGGGAAGCCCCAGCGGGAATTTTGAACTCTCATCTGCCGGAATCCAAAGCCCAGGTTCCTTGGGTTAGGAGGAAAAGGTGGGACGGGGACGGGGGAGATCATCCAGCCCCTCAGGATCTTGTAGCCGACTGGTTCCAGGACTTCAGCAGCCAGGACTTCGCCACTACGTTTACAACTCACTGAGTCCCGGTGGGTGCTATCTCCTCCCTCGCCTCCCAGGCATAACCAAATATCCCAATCCATATTCTCTGAAATCTGTTCCCACACCACACACAGCTTTCATTTCCCACTCGGATTTAGCGTGATAACCGCCTGCCCACAAGTCTCCGGCTTCCGCCAATCCATCCGTAATGCAGCTGCCAGAGGTACTGCTAAAGTGCAAATCAATTTCCATTATTTCCCCACCTCAGATATTATCGTCCCTTAAACATAAAGCAAAAAATCGTCAGCAGGGGCACACAGGTGCCTTCCATACACCTTTGCATCCCACCGGCTCTGGTCCTCTGCCCTCCTTCCACAGGCCTCCAGCCTCCTGCCTTTGGGAAATCCACTGTAGGGTTCCGAGTGCACCCAACTTGTGGCTCACAGACTCGGAGGGACAGTGTGGAGAAGAGCCTTCTCTAGATTCCTGGCTGCTCTGTGTGTGTTGGACAGGGGGTGGGGAAGCCTGATGGTATCCCAGGTCCCAGCCTTTCTCCACACACTGATGGCCAGACAGCACCTGTCTCTGGCTACCCGGGAGCACACCCAGGCTGCCAACCCCAGGCCAGTGTTTGTTCCATAGGTTCATCCCCCTGTCTAAAATATCTCAGTGTTCTGTGGATCTCGGGGGGTCGTTACATTGAGCCCCTTCAGTCCTCCTGGGAACAAAGAGGGAGAAGAATTTCTGGGGGTTTGGACGTGATGACAAATCTCCACTGTTCTTCCTGCCATGTGATGTATAGTATACAGCAGATACTTTGCAGTCATTCTCAAACCTGAGCATGCATCAGAATGACTCGGAAGGCTTGTCAAAACAGATTGCTGAGCTCCACCTCCACCGTCTCTGAATCTGTGGTTCTGAGGTGGGCATTTCTAACAAGTTCCCAGGTAGTGCTAGGGCTGCTGATCTGGAGAGCACACTGAAAACCACTGCTCTTGGGAAATGAGCATTGAGACAGGGGAGCTGTGCGGTCTCATTCCTCTGCCTGCTGTGGGACCTTTGGCCGTTAACTTCTCTTTCTAAATTGAGGAGATTGGATTTAGCACAAGGTCCCCTTGCATTTACCAAGAATTGATTCTGTAAGTTCCCACAGGAAAGAGAGCCTCTAGCCCCCACAAACTAGATGTAGATAGCCTACCTTGCCCTCTCACCCAGTTCTTCTGCCTGGTTTTGAAATGTCTTCACCAATATCACCTTATGGTGTCATGCAGCCATATTAGCCACTCACATGGTCCTAGGACTTGGTCCTTTAAGAGTTTAGGAACACATATTATGAAACAAAAGAGAAGTTGTGACATAGTAAACTTAGAGAAGCCCAGCTGAGATTAGAACCTAACACTTCAAGAGCCCCGAATGGACCTTCCTTGTGCACAGCCATCCTCAGTCCCACAACTCAGCCGCTGATTGGAAGCCGCAGAATTGGAAGAAATGGGTTTTGCAATCAAACGACACCCCAGGATTAAACTGCAACAGCACCATTCACTAACTGCAAGCCTCTTGATCTCTGTGATTCTTAGTTTGCTTATCTGTAAAAGGGAGATGGGACTTATCTCACAGGCTTGTGATAAGGCTTAAATGAAGTAATGTATAAGAGAATTTAGCACAGGACTGGGCATATAATAAGTATTTATTCAGGGACATCACCATGATTAACCATGGAACAATTATTTAGCCTCTCTGATCTCAGTTCCTGAGTTATGAGCTAGTATGACAAAGTACCTAACAGACTCCCTAGCCCTTGGAAGGGCCATAATGGTAGCTATTCTTATCACAAACGCTCATGTAATCAGCTTCTTCCTATTTCCTTTGCCTAGGGTTTTAAACCCATTTATAATATGTATCACAGTCTACAGAATAATACACACCTATGTGTTAGTCCATAGAAAAACAGTAAACCCTGAGGGCTAAGGCCAAATTGAATTCATTTTTCTACTTTCAAAAATCTACAGCGTTTTGCCCATAGTAAGTACTCTGTAAATGTTGGCAAATCTCCCTCCCCATCCCAACACACTCACCATCAAGCCATGTTGCCTCTCTGCAGCTTCACATAATATAAAGTCAACATTTGTTCACACTTTACACCTTCCTTCATCAGATTCTCACAAGCTTGCAAAGAAGGTCATGTAGAGATTCTTCTTCCTAGTTTACAGATGAGAATACTAAGGTTCTGAGAGATTAGGTGAACTTCCCAAGGTCACAGAGCTAGTTGGTGGTATTGCAGGGACTCAAACCCAGATTTTCTCATTCCAGGCATAGTGCTCTTATTTACTAAACTTCAGTCACTTCCATACTACTTTCACAATTTTGCCATAACCTTGTGCCATCTTGGTTCTAATCTGCTTATCATGTTTCTTTATATCGAGTCAATTTGTTTAATTTGTTTGGAAAAGAAACTGTATATAACTCACTAACCATAAATAAAAGGATACACTAAAATAAATGCAAGAAAAATAAAATAAAGTTACCAAATTCCAGATGAAATCTACCTCGAGTTTCTGAGCTTAACCTTTGTTTAAAAAAAAAAAAAAAGTAAGTGTGTTGTTTACCAAGTGTTAGCCATAACAAAAAACAAAAAACAAAAGACATGCAGCATGTAAATGAGACTTTCTGTTTGTCTATAAACATACAGCTCAAAACAGAAAGGGGGACTTCTCTGGTGGTCCAGTGGCTAAGTCTCCACGCTCCCAATGCAGGGGGCCCAGGTTCGATCCCTGGTCAGGGAACTAGATCCCACGTGCTGCAATATCCCACATGCCACAACTGAAGATCCCGCACGTGGCAACGAAGATGCCACGTGCTGCAACTAAGACCCGACACAAATAAATAAATAAAATTTTTTAAAATATATTTTAAAAATAGGATTAGAAAGGAAATACTTTCTTAACATTTAGTTTATTATTATCTAAAGCCAGATCCATGTACCACCTAGAATCAGCTCTAGCTCTACATCACATTATCTCTTGCTTCATCAGGGATGCTTTCACATACTTCAAAGTGTACCCTTGAAATGTAATTTAATATAACCTCACCAGGATTTTTTTAAGTGATGTGACCACTTCAACCATAGTTCACAGATACTATGCTGCTCTCACTTCAAACATTAACCCTCACGCCCCCACCCCACCCCCATTCTTCACACTATTATTCTCCATCACTGTCTTTCTATCATCATTTCAGGCATACTTCTGTTGTATTTAATATAGACTGTAGGTTCCTGGAACATTAGTTGTTACGCGAAAACTGGGTTTGCCTCTTGGTGGGTGTCGAGTCAACAGACACAACCAAGCCAAAGGTTGGGAGAAGGAAGGATTTATTATTACTTACAGCAAGTAAGAAGAACACCAGAGATCTTTCCCAAAGCAGTGTCTCCCC